ACCACTATGGAAAACAGTATGGTGGTGTTCCTCAAAAAGTAAAATTACAATCACTATATGATTCAGCAAACCCACTTCTGGTTAAAAGAATTTTTTGTTGTTGTTTTGGTTTTTTATGTCGGTCGTGGAATTTGAACTCTGGGCCTGAGTGCTGTCCCAGAGCTCTTCAGCTTAAGGTGAGCGCTCTACCACTTGAGCCACAGCGCCACTTTTGGTTTTTTAGTGGTTTATTGGAGATAAGAGTCTCACGGACTTTTCTGCCCAGGCTGGCTTTGAACTGCAATCCTCAGATCTCAGCCTCCTATGTGGCTAGGATTACAAGCATGAGCCACTGGCGCCCAGCTTGATTAAAAAAATTCTTTTTAAAAGAATTAAATAGCTGGGCGCCGGTGGCTCACGTCTGTAATCCTAGCTGCTCAGGAGGCTGAGATCTGAGGATCGGGGTTCAAAGCCAGCCTGGGCAGGAAAGTCCATGAGACTCTTATCGCCAATAAATCACTCGAAAACTGGAAGTGGCGCTGTGGCTCAAGTGGTAGAGCGCTCACCTTGAAATGAATAGCGCAGGGACAGCACCCAAGCCCAGAGTTCAAGCCCCACAACTGACAAATAAAAAGAATTAAATATCAAGGAGATACTTGTACAACCATGTTCATAGTATCATTATTCACAATAGTCAAAGTAGAAGTGCTGTGCTAAGCATCATGGTACACATCTGTAGTCCCAGTATTTGAGGAGCTGAGGCAGGAGGATCACATACCCAAGGCCAGCCTAAGCAACGTAGTGAGACCTTGTATAAAAAAATAAAGAGATAGATGGGGCTATCAATGATTGAATGAATAAAAAAGAATCCAAACATGTTATATACATGCAAGTGAATATTATTCAGCCTTAAATGAAGGGAAATTCTGATACTTGGTATGAAACATACATGAACTATGTCATAAATCAGTCACGAAGACACCAGTGGTGTATGATCCCCCTTACATAAGGTATTGTATGTAAGATACTCAGCTGAGTTCATAGAGACCCATTAGTACAAAGATGGTTTTGGAGGGATCAGTAGGTTGGATGGGGAAATGTTTAAGGGGTTACAGTTTCAGTTTTGCAAAATGAAAAAGTTCTGGATATTGGAATACTGAATATACCACTGAACTATACAGTTCAAAGGGTTAAAATTGTCCATTTCAATGTTAAACATATTTTACCACAATTAAAAGTACCTTTAAAGTGTGATGTTGGTTTCAATATTTGTATTTCTTGCAAACGGCTGGGATCCTGCAGAGGCCAGGCAGATGTGATCTGGACAAAAGCTAGAAACAGGTGGAGGTTGTGTAAATCTGCTAACTTGGCCAAGTAGAAACAAATGTCCTGCCAATTCATCATCAGCATTCGCTCTCGGAGGATAGAAACAGCAATGGAAGAGCTCGGTGGAGTGGAGGTGCCTTTTAGTGGTCCACAAGGCCTCACAGAGTCCAGAAATACAGCCCGGGAGCATTTAGCCTAGGGGGAGGAATAATCAGAGATGGTAAGCCAATCATCAAATATTCCCACAGAAACTGTCCATGAAACTGGGCCTTGGATCAAAAACATGAAAGGGCTGTTACAAAAGCATAAATAAAGATGTATCTTTTTTTGTTTCCAAATAAGCAGTAGATCAGTTTTGTCATCATACAGTCCTTAACCAGGGAACCACCCCCCCCCCCTTTTTTCAAATGTGTGCTGGTCCTAGGGCTTGGACTCTGTCCCTGATGTTTTTATGCTCAAAGCCAGCACTCTACCACTTGAGCCACAGCTCCACTTCAAGCTTTTTGAAAGTTAATTGGAGATAAGAGTCTTATGGACTTTCCTGCCAAGGCTGCCTTTGAACCTTGATCCTCAGATCTCAGACATCTGAGTAGCTAGGATTACAAGCATGGGCAACCATTGCCCAAATTCTAAGATGCATTTTCATGGAGAGATTCAGATAGTTATTCAAAGCCATTTTGGCGATTGGATAGGGTTTTAAATTACAGATATAAGAAATGTACTTACTACCAGACTTATGTAACTTTAACCCTTCTGTACATCACCTTTACAATAGCAATAAAAAAATAAGTTTAAAAAACTTACAGATGCAGTTGTTGTCCCTCGGGGGACAGAGTAGAATATTTCTGGGACCCTCTGTGAATATGAGCATCTGGGTACTCAAGTTCCTTTTATAAAAATGACCATCTATTTGCATAGAACATCCCACTTGAAATCATCTCTAGATTCTTTCTTTCTTTCTTTCTTTTTTATTGTGAAAATGCTGTACAGATGGGTTACAATTACATGGGCAAGGTAATGAGTACATTTCTTATCAAGCATTGTTGCCTCCTCCTTTGATTCCCCTTCCCATCTCCCCCCCCCCTGCTTCCCCTTTCCCCACTTCCTGATCCCCCCACCCCCTCGGCCAGAGTTGTAAAGTTCGTTTTTTCGACATAACGTCTTGTACATCTCATTGTTGCAATGGGTCCACCTGTATTCCTATTTAAACAATTTGTTTTTTCCCTTCCCCTCCACAAAGTATACCAGCATCAAATACAGTGAAAGCAGGGGTTATATCGTGGGGGAGGGATATACAAAGCAACAAAGAAATCATCTTATAAATGTGTTAGAGACAATCTCAAGAGGGAAAAAACATTTGAATCCTTATCTTGGGGTTCATTTCACCTAACATCAACTTATCTGACCGTTTCTGCTTGTCTCAAACATATACTAGTTATTGCAAATAAGGGAAACCATGGGACCTATGTTTCTTTAGGCCTACCCCTAGATTATTTCTTATAACTAATATGAGATAGATGGCATGTAGATAAATGTTAGATTGTATTATTTAGATATTCATTAAAAGGAAAAATTTGTACATGTTCAGTAGAGACAATTTGTTCCTGAAATGTTTATGTTGGTTTGATTCATAGACATGGATTCATAGATAAGAAGGCTGACTCCATTTTTATTAAATCAGTTTGAATGCTAGACACTAAATGCAAACATATTAGCAATCATGTTGGTATTGTCAAGATAGAATAAGGTTTGTTAATACATAGGGAAAATTATCTTCCATCTATTTCTAACCTTTGACTCTCTTCTCCTACTCAGGCTCATGATATGAACAAAAATCACACCAATCCCCCAAGGTTTCTCTCCTCTCATCTACTCATCTACTTTTTGTGGACTAACTGCCCCAAATTGTGCATTCTTCCTGACATCTTATCCCTATGCCCACCTTTCATACTCACTGGGAAAACACCTCCTGGCCCTTGCTTCCATCAAGCTAGCTCATCACATCACATGATCACACGGCATGCGTGGGAGGAAGTTTGTAAGGGCCACAGGATAATGGTCACTTTTCCCTGTAAATGCAACCCACCCTAGAAAATAAATGACCAAGTATTTAACACTACAGGGACCTAGACTTGTAACATCACAAACAATATGAAAGTTCAAGTATAAATTTCCCTTCTTAAATACAAATTCATTCTACAATTTGTAGTGTCTTAAGAGAGAAAGATACAGAGAGAGACAAGATACAAATAGAAACACAGAGAGAGAATTCTTTGTAGAGGACAATTCTATAGCTTCTTTACATTTTTGTGAGGTCCACTCCTTGTACAAAATGTAGGTCTCATTCTTCAGTGCTTACATAGAAATGTCAAAAAAAAGTTCAGGGGGTACAGAGTTCAACTTACAAACAACTATGAAAAATTATTGTGAATTTTCCTTTAGAGAGAGAGAGAGAGTGGAGTGAGTGTGTGTGTGTGTGTGTGTGTGTGTGTGTGTGTGTGTGTGTGTGTGCATTGTGTGGGGGGTAGGTATGTACACACACATGCTTGTACTAAGGTTTAAACTCAGGGCCTCACATTCTCCTTAATCTTTGTTATTCAAGACTGGCAATCTGCCTCTTGAGCCACAGCACCACTTCCAACTTTTTGGTGGTTAATTTGAGATGAGAGTTTCACAGACCTATCTGCCCAGCTTGGCTTTGAACCTTAATCCTCAGATCTCAGCCTCGTGAGTAGTAGATCAGATTATAGACATGAGTCACCAGCACCCAAGTGAATCTCTTAATTCATCTTACTTTATACATTTATAGATTTTTATACATCAATCATATTTTATACAGTTCCCAACAATGTAATCAGAAGTATTCTAATTACATAGCATAAATCAGTATTGAAAGCAAACCATTTCAAAATTTAACAAATTAATCTTTCAAATGATGAAGGACAAAACTTAGGGAAAAAATCAAATTGCCCATACATAAAATTTAACAGAAAAACATCTTACATGAATTTTACTATATAATATTTGCCTGTTACGGCTCAGCTGTAGAACTATGTCTAGTTTCAACATTTGCTCCATAAAATCAACACTAGCTGAAGAGCTAATGCTGAGTCCAGCCGAAAACAAAATATTTTCTCATTTAGTTGGACTTAGTAACATGTTACCACATACTTGGAGTTTCAAAATGCAGGCATTTAATGGGGCTAGTGGTGACTAAAATATAAATTTCTAAAAATAAAATTGGTAGAAACTAATTTGGGAAGTTGTTGTACTGGTACTGAGGCTTGAACTTAGGGCCTGAGTGCTGTCCCTTAGCTTTTCCACTCAAGGCAGAAACTCTCACTTGAGCCACAGCTCCACTTCCTGCTTTTTTGTGGTTAATTGAAGATGAATCTCACAGGATTTTCTGCTCAAGGCTGCCTTTGAACTGTGATCCTCAGATCTCAACTTCCTGAGTAGCTAGGATTACAGTCATGAGTCACCAGTGCCTGGGGTGCAGAAACTGAATTTTTGAACCAATATTAAAGTTCACTTGGCTAATGTGGGTGTTAGTGTTGAATATATGCACACATGTGACAAGGATGTGTATACTACATACATATTGCAAATATCTGCATGTGTTACACAGTGATGTAGGCTAACATGAATTATAGAGTTTGTAGCGGCTTTCAAGCATTCTCTTTGTTTGCTAACAGGTTGTTTGGCATCAAGTCAGTGATCCAAACAGACTGCTCCAGCACTTGGAAGATCATAGTGAACCCGGATCTGTCCTGGTATCACCATGCCAACCCCATCCTCCTGCTGGTGATGTACTACACGCTGGCCACACTGATCCGCATCTGGCTACAAGAACCCCTTGTAAGGCTCAAATGCTTTCTGTGATCTTGTCTGCTAAGTAACCAACCTGAAATCTCCAGGTGCAAAGTTTAATTCCTCTAGCCTACTGACTAGTCCATACTATAGTGCCACCTAATGCTCACATGCTAGTGATAGTATCATAATTATGCAAAGGTACACCCTGGTAGCTCATGCTTCTAATTCTAATCCTAACTACTCAAGAGGCTGAGATAAGAGGATCGTGGTTTGAAGCCAGCTTAAGCAGAAAAAGCATGTGAGATTCTTGTCTCCAATTAATCAGCCAGAAGTAGAACTGTGGCTCAAGTGGCAGAGTGCCAACCTTGAACAAAAAATGTTAAGAGACAAAGCCCAGAACCTGAGTTCAAACCCTACTACTGGTGCAGATGCATGTGTACATGCATACATGTGTGCATGCTCATATACCTTGCAAAGAGGGTTGAATATGAAAGACCAGCTTTCCTTTACTAACTCCCTATGTACACTCTGAGAGTGGATCGTGAGGAGGGTAGCTTCATTTGTACTGAGCACTTTCTAGGTGCCAAGTGTTATGCTAAGTTGTTTATATACATTACCTCAATATGCTAAATCACTCTAAAGTACAAGTATTATAGCTATTATATAGATGAGAAAAATAAGGTGTGACAGAATTTTTGGAAATCTCATACTCAATGGTACAAACCAGTTTATAGCCTAATTTGACAACAAAGCTTAGTTTTTAGAAACCATGCAACCCCTATTACCATGGTGATTGGAGTTTCCAAATCTTGTCCAGAGCTCTCAGACCTCAAGGATGCTGTAGGGCAAGGCCAGGTTTGCGGGTGTCTATGCCTACCTGCAAGGCAGAGAGATAAGGATGTTCCCTCCCTACAGCCTTCTCAACAAGGATTTGGAGCTTTTGGGGAGGGGAGGGTCACCAAAGCCTGTGAAGCTTCTCTCTCTTCCCTTTCAGTAGTAAACAGCTCAGTCTTTTATTTCTTCTAAATGGCAATGAGGAGCTCAGTGGTAAGGTACCTCATTGGCATGTGAAGGAACAAAGTTGAAACTACAGAGAGAATTGTGCTTTTTCACCCATTGCCTGCAGGGGGCACAGTTCACATCAGCACTTGGCTGAATACAATCTCTCCTCGGGTATCATTTCTAGCCTGGAGTAGTTTCCTACTTTTCCACTTTCTTGGCTTAACACCATAGACTGTACCAGATCCACAAATCCATTTTGCAGTCAGGTGGCTCTCTGTGTCCCATAGTAATGTAGGCGTTAAGGTAGCAAGACAAAGCCTGCAGTTGATAAATTGGCATATCCTACAAGAGAAAACCATGCCCCCATGTAGGCCTGGCAGGTGTGCCACTCAGAAACAAGGATGTGTCTTCCCTCTCCTGTGTTCTTTTTCCCTACTACATGAACAGGCATGGAGGACAGTGGCAACTAGCAGGAATAGGCCACAGACCCCATCCTTGATGATGGGTCATCTTCGTTGAGGGGTCACCACAGATAGCTAATAATAACAAGTACTCTTTAAGGTCATCTTGCTTTGGCATTTTCTCAGGTGCTCATGGAATTTCCCATTCTTGGTAAAAAAAAAAAATCCTTTAAAGTTTTCGTTATGCTTGCTTTCTCAACAAACATACCTATGATATGTATCTATAGATTAAAATGTACACATAAGGAATTGACATGCACAGTGAAATTTTGAATACTGTTTTATACATGACAGAAATGAAGGCAGCCTGGAAAAATTCTTAGGGTCTTTAGCTCTCCCTGGGCATCAGATGGAGCAGTAGTTTGGTGAGATCCTGCTGTTCCCTCCAGGTCTGTGAGATACTCTGGTGTCCCAGTCCTGAGGTGTCTGGGGAACAATGTCAAGCAGACAGAACCAGGAAAGCAATCTGAACTGCAGCCACATGGGCTTCAGCTGTATTACAGAGTTCTCTTAAGGGTCCATGGAACCGGCATTACATCAGCTTCAGTATTTCAGCTCATCTACACTCATAAGTAGGCTGGAAGTAGGCTTTCTTCCTGAGGCAATGTGAAAATATAATATGATCTTGATCCCAGATGCCTTAGAACATTTAATGAAAAAATACAAGTTGAGGTAAAAGTCTATCAAACACTACTGGACATCAATGGCTCAACCTGTAATCCTAGCTACCCAGGCGGTTCAGATCAAAGGATCTGATTTTTCTGCCAGCCCAAGCAGGAAGATTAAAGAGACTCTTATTTCCAATTAATCAGGAAAAGGCTGGAAGTTGGGCTTAAAGCACAAGGACTTGAGTTCAAGCCTCAGTTTGGCACACACATACAAAATGTGTTCATACTAAATGATTTTCATAACTGTTTTCTAGTGCTACTCAGAATGTACAGGGAGACACAGATACTTAACATAAGGCATATGCTATAATATATAGGGCCTTGCAAGAATCAGGGTCCATCTCAAGTACAGGACAGTGTGTAATATAAACCAGGCTCATGGTGTCCCCTAATGTCTGCTGATGGATGAGCTTTGGGAAGCAGAGTTGTTCTTGTGATTCTGTGTTTCAGGTAGAGGATGACAAGACAAAGGAAGAGGACCAAGCCCTGGCTTGCAGCTCTAATCAGAACACAGCAGAAAGGAGGCGGAGCCTGTGGTATGCAGCCCATTACCCAACTGATGAGAGAAAAGTAAGCCCAGGAGCCAAGTGCTCTATCTATAGTTTATGTTGCTATATTGGTATTTTACTGTTGAGTGTGTGTTTTGTAATAATACATCAGCCCATGCTGCTGATATATGGACACAGTTTGATTTAGTCAGCTAGGTGCCATAACATCACATCAAAAAAGAATGACTTGCTTCTAAAAGCAGCACCATGGCCAGCCAAACCCTGGACAAATGTGATTTTGTATGTCCATGCTTCTACAGAAGTCTCTTAATCCTAAAAGAATCTTCTTAATTTATTTATATCACATATTTGAAACAAACAATACTTAAACAAGCAAGCCAAGATTGATAGCTCACAATTGTAATCTTAGTTTCTCAGCAGGCTGAAATCCAGAGGACTGCAGTTTGAAGTCAGCCCAAGCTGTGAGTCTGTGAGTCCCTTATGTCCAATTAATCAGCAAAAAGCCAAGTTGGAGGCCTGATTCAAGTGGTAGGGTACCAGCCATAAGGAAGCAAGTCAAGTAAGCTCAAGGCTCTCAAATCCCAGCACAGGCATAAATTAATAAATAGGACAGCAATATGTGGACAGCAGATGAAAATCACAGAGTTGAAATATGTTTCAGCAAGTGTGTTTGCTGTGTTGAGCCCCTTCCATAGTAATCAACAACCATTTAGGGGAGAGCCAAGGTCCTGCTGAACAGATTCTGGACCTGTCAGTGTGTGGAGTCAGGCTGAAATTTTCCAGTAAGACCTGTAAGGTCTGCAACATCTAACAACAATGTTTCTATACCTTCTTGATCATTCATTGGCCACCCTGTGTGTTCAAATGGCCTCTTGTAGTGCTATGAGGACAAGTCATGTTCACATTCTTGCTGGTCTCAGTGAGGGGCTCCCAGCATAGAGAATCCAACAGCTGATTATTAGATTCACTTGGTGATTGGTAGGTTTCTCTAAGATACACAAGCCCTAGCATCAGCATGACTGTCCTAGATTGAGAGTGGATGAGAAATAAATGAGCCACCATGATGAAGGACAGAATCATGGGGTAGATGTGACATTTAACAGCTTGTGGGGGCACTTTTATCTCATCGCCCCAGGTTTTAGGCTGTCAGATTTAGTCCATTTGATATTAGGTAGCAGCCAAGGGTAGCCCGATCTATCCAGTGAAGCCCATAAAGCTCTGGGATCATGAACTCCTGGTAGGAATCCTCAAGACTACAATGAACTCTGTTTTAATACTTAAAATCTAGGTGGGTGTGTGCCTGTAATCCTACTGGAGGCATAGGTAGGAAGATTGGGGTAAGAAAAAGCCAGTCCTGGGTGAATATTTGAGAAATAAAATATTTGAGAAAGTAGTTGAAACATTAGAACTTATAGGTAGAAAATTCTTGAAGAGTCTCGGGTATAATGGATAGGAGAGAGAGTTGCCAAGTGGTACTACATCAAAATAAATATTTTCTGCACCACTAAAGACATAGTTACTAAACTAAAAATACAGCCAACAGACTGGGAGAAGATATTTACCAGCAATATAGCCTACAAAGGTCTAATATCCAATGTATGCAAGGAGCTCAAGAAACTAACTTCTACCAAACCTAATAAACTAATCTCTAAATGGACAAGGGAGCTAAGGAGAGACTTTTCAGAAGAATGGCAAAGAAACACATGGGGAAATGTTCATCATGATTGGCCATAAATAAAATGCAAATCAAAACAATGCTGAGGTCCCATCTCACCCCCCCCCCCAGTAAGATTGGCCAATGTGAGTTCAAACAACAACAAATGTTGACCAAGACGCATGGAGAGAGGACCCTACTGCACTGATGGTAAGAATGTAAACTAGTACAACCACTCTGGACAACAGTTTGAATGCTCCTCAAAAAATTAAACATAGATCTTCCCTATGACCTAGCCATGCCACTCCTGGGCATCTACCCTGAACATCATGAGCACATCCATGTTTCTTGCTGCACTATTCACAATAGCCAAGATATGGAAACAGCTCTGATGTCCCACAATAGATAAGTAGATCAAACAAATGTGGTACCTATATACAATGGAATTTTAAACAGCCATTAGAAAGAATAAAATAATGCTATTTGCAGGGAAATGGATGAAACTAGAACAAACAATGTTAAGTGAGGTAAGCCAAACTCAGAAGGATAAATGGCTAATATTCTCTCTAATAAGTGGAAGTTATATCTAAAATACACTGGGTTATGATAAATTATACAGGATTCTAGATACTCACACACAGTGAGAACAAGAGGAGAATAACACAAAGGCACAATACCTACATGCCTTTTTATATTTATATAAAGATATATACATATGTATGTATGTATATATAATTAACTCTAAGATATGGACATAATAAATCTCTCTTTTTTATAGAAAATGATTTACACATCTCTCATGTGTATATCATCAGGAGGGTTGGGGGAGGGTACAGAACTCAAGGGGTAAAAGGTGAAAAAGTGCAGCAATGCATTTCACTGGACACTGATGAAAGTGAACTATGCAACTCATGAATGGAGATGGGAGGGAGGGCCTGGGAGAGAATGTGAGAATAGAAGATGCTGTATGAAAGGAATTCCCTGACTTGTTTAAGTATAATTGCTCTGTATATCACCTTTATAATAATAAATTAGTTTTAAAAACTGAGACCCCCCTGCAAAAATTAACTAAAGCCAAAGGGCTTTGGACATGGCTCAAGTGGTCAAGCATCTATCTAGCAAGTGCAAGGCCTTGAGTATAAAACCCACCTCAGAGTGGGTAGGAGAAGGAAGGAAGTGAGGAAGGAAGAGAAGGAGGAAAGAAATCTTTGCCATGGTGTGTAAAACTGGATGCCTAAGCATCATAAATCAAGGCTGGGCTGGCCAACTCAAGCCACGCAATGATGATCATACGTAGAACCCTTCACTGCCAAGCATACACAGAAAGCAAAAGCAAACCTGCTTCCACTTAAGAACAACCTTGCTGAACAGATCTGAGGATTGTGACTCAATGCTAGCCCAGGCAGGAATGTTGTGAAACTCTTATCTCTAGTTAACACTGAAAAGCCAGAAGTGTGGCTCTGCAGAGGGCTAGCCTTGAGTGGAAAAGCCAACTGAGAGTGCAAGGCCCTGAGTTCAAGCTCCAGTTACTAGCACAATAGATAGATGATATAGGTAGACAGACAGACAGACAGACAGACAGATGGAGAGTGATCTAAGTCTAAGGTAGGTATAAGGTAAGTATAGTAATGTCCTCCTCCACCATTATAGTTACTCATAACTCACTTCCTTCCTCGTAACTCCCTTCCTCGCTCACAGTACCAGTGTAAGGTATCCTTTACAGGTGGACCCCATTCTGTCTTTCTAGCACATTCTTATTGTATCTTTTCTATGGCTGATGCACAATGTAGCAGATGCTACATTGTGTAGCATCTGCTAAAGCCTTCTGTAGAGTAGGTGCAGTGCAGGATTGTAGCCCAATTTATGCCATGGAGCTTCGAAGACTGGCAGGCCATGCCACAAAATGGAAATTGCCTAGCAATGAACTTCTCTCAGTGTATCCCATGGTTAAGCCATGCAAATAGTCAGCCTTGAACTACAGGATGTTACTTTATTATTCCATGTAACAAAAAGATGTCAGCATAGCATACTACCTCTGCAGTCTGTCAGCTGTCCGCAGCAGAGTCTGTCTGCTGGGACGCAGTAAGGGCCCTGTCAGCTGAGCACCTGTGCTGTGTGTCCTCAGCTACTACTTTTGTTAAAGGATCAGTCAATAGACAAAAATGTCGTTCTTCTGATCTGAGTATTTAGCAATAATTACTTGAAGATAAATGAAGCAAGTCCATCAGTTTGAGGAAAGCAACAGATTAGTATTGCATGAAATTACAAAGTTTAAAAATTTGAGTTTAATCAGAATTTTAGAAACCTTGTATCTATCATTGAAACTCTGAAAACTTCCTAACATTTAAACACTTCTGATGAGCTCTTCTTAAATGACTTTTTGGTAAATAAATGTGCTTGTATAATGTTGCATGATATTTAAATATCAATATGCATTTAAAACATTACATAATGGGGGTAGGCAAGGTGGCTTATTCCTTCCTAGCCACCTGGGAACCTGAGATCAGGATTATGATTTAAGACCAGCTCAAGCAAAAACTTTGAGAGACTCTGTCTTAGACAATAAAAGCTGGGCATGGTGGCCTCCATCTGTCATATGGGAAATGGTAAACAAGTGAATCACCATCCAGGTCAGCCCATGTATAAATGTGAAACTCTATTCAGAAATTGAAGCAAAGAAGGGCTAAATGCATGGCCCAAATGGTAGAGCACCTGCCTAGCAAGTGCAGAACCCTAAGTTCAAACCCCAATACTCTCAAACTAAATTAATAAATATTATGTAATAAAAGGTGTCAGTCAATAGTGGTGTAACTGTGTAGCTCAGCCAACTAACAACTTGGAAACCATCATCTCCTGAAAACACAATGCACAGGTAAAAGATTCATTCGAGATGCAAAAGAGATCAGTAATTTTACTGTAACAGATGATGGGAACTGCTCCAGTAGAGTCTCCAATTCTACCTGCACCTCCCCTTTACAAAACTCCTATTATCAGAGTTTGCTGAAGTAGCAAGGACTACTCATAATGGTCAGGATAGAAGATTAACACATCCTTCTGTTTCTAAATGCATTCTCATAGAAACAAGGCATTCTTTACATATGTTATCAAAACAGTGCATTGTAGCAGATCAAAGCACAGATATGGGAATCCAGTTGCCTTCTTTAAGCTTAACTCTAAGGAAACATGTAAAAGTATAAAACATAACACCTTTTCCAGTATTTTGTTTTTTTAATTTTAATTTTATTGATATACAGAGGGATTCCAGTTACATAGGTAAGATAGTGAGTACATTTCTTGTCAATCTTGTTACTCTCTCCCTCATTTTTCTCCGTCTTTCCCTCCCCCATACCCTATTATTTGTTTTTTTTTAAGAATATATATATGATTAATTTATTATAACATATAATAGGATTTTATTTCTGTGTGTGCGCGCACACGCAACGCACGTACACACACACACACACACACACACACACACACACACACACACACACACACACACACACTTGAACTCAGGGGCCTGGATTCTGTCCCTTAGCTTTTTTACTCAAGGCCATTGCTCTACCATTTAAGCCATAGCCTCACTTCTAGCCTTTTGATGATTAATTGGAGGTAAGTGTCTCATTGACTTTTCTGCCCCAGCTGACTTCCAATCATGTTCCTCAGATTTTAGCCTCCTGAGTAGTTAGGATTACAAGTATAAGTCACCAATACATGGCAATAGGATTTTGTTTTCAATGAATTAATCAATCCATAACATTTTTAAATGCCTCTTTTAGTTTCCTGGTGTGGTAGATAATCTCCCCATAAAGAAAGACTTTTTAGGGCCCTGAGTGGTTTTTAAGAATGTTAAATGAGTCTCATCTCCAAATGTTACAGAAATACTTTTTGTGTTAATTATGACTTAGGGAGGCCCAAACAACCTTGTATTAAAATAGTTTAAAAAAGCACAGTCATATAAGAATTATTTTGTGGTGAACAATATGTAAATTATCTTAAATGTAAAATATGTAAAATAATATTAAATCAGGTGATGGTAGTTCATTCCTGAGATCTGAGGATTGCAGTTCGAAGCTAGCCTAGGCAGACAATTCCAAGAGACTCTTATCTCCAATTAACCAGCAAGAAACGCCAGGAGTGGAGGAATGGTTCAAGTGGTAGAGTGCCAGCCTTAATTGAAAAAGCCAAGCAAGAGCAGAAGACTCTGAGCTGGCATACACACACACACACACACACACACACACACACACGCTCTCCCACGCACATACACACACACACACATGCACACTCACACAAATATATTCTAGACTACAGTATAAGTCATTTATCCTACTAAGAAACCTTTATGTCTTGAAAAGTGAGTGCTTTTGGAATCCTGCTCATGTCTAATAGATGTCTAGGAACATAAAAGCAAAATGCTTATCCTATAGAACAAATCCTTGGAAAATGCAGCAACTTGATAACTATGTGGCTTATGGTGCTTTATTTGCTGTGATAGCTAAAGGTAAATTCTGAAGCTGGGAAGTGATTACAGTGAACTGAAGCCTCCAGTGGTGTTATTGAATTTGCAATAACATTTTGCGTTTGCATGGCAGTATTAACCTCAGCATGGATTCAGCTGGCGTGTGTGGATAGTACAGTTTATAGATGTATAGCAACCTTCAAATGCTCTTTGCTTACCTAATAACGTACTGTCCTGCATTGCTTTTTGCAGCTTTTATCCATGACCCAAGATGACTACAAACCATCTGATGTTAGTATTTCCTTAGACTTTCATTTATTCTTATGTAAGTGACTTGAAAGTGACAAATGTAATGAACACCTATGAGTCTGATTTAACAATCTAAATTTCCAGTGCGTTTCAATTACATTTTTTTGCAGAAATGATGCCTGGTGTATCATTAAGTATAACATGCAAAATATACTTGAAACAGCCTGTAGAACTGTTTTATGTATTTTGTACTGTGACTGTGCTAATAATTACATAAATTAAATAGGAAGTCTTGCATGTATGCACTTATGTACATGTTAGTATCAAAATACATAAATGTCCAAGAGACCAAAGGGAAAATCCCAGGTATCTTCATTCAGTGGACTGGACCTAGCAGTTAGGCAGAGATCCTAGATGGAGTCTGTCCTGAGACCTAAAGAAAATTTGCATGCCTGTAATCCTGGCTACTCAGGAGGCTGAGATCTGAGGATCCAAGGTCGAAGTCAAACCGAGCACACAAGAAACTTCTCTAAGTAACCACCAAAAAGCCAGAAGTGGAGCTGTGGCTCAAGTGGTAGAGTGCTAGCCTTGAGTGAAAGAGGAACAGTGCCCAAGACCTGAGTTCAGACCTCAGAAGTGGAGATGTGGAAATGGAGGGATAGGAGGACCAGGAAGGTTTGGAGGACCTTACAGGTAGGAGGTGTTCAGTGCAGACAGCTGAGGCTGGAGAAAGCATGAATGTCACTGTAGGCCATTCCCCAAGTTCACACTGTATAGTGAGGCAGAGAGTATTCTGCATAGTAGAAATGCTACAAGACCAGGTGTGCATCTTATTGCCATCATTCAGGAGAAATCAGAATTGTAGGGACAGATCCAGTGCTCGTGCATGTATTTCTGGTTACTTAGCAGGCTGAGATCTGGAGGACCAAGGTTGGAAGCCAGCCTGTGAAGAAAATTTCACAAGACATTTCCAAAATATCCAGTACTAAAACTAGGCTGGGGGCATGGCTCAAATCATAGAACACCAGCAAAGCAAGCTCCAGGTCTTTAGTACTGGCAGGTATTTAGTACCTGATACTGGCAAAAAAAATTATAATAACCTACATAATTTTAGAGAGAATTATATGGGTAGAATATTTGGATAATTGTTTAGCTTCCATTTAATCTTCATCACTTGAGCTATTTCTGGAGCATGGGGAGGGACTTATGCAATGTAGATAGCCCACAGTTGTTTGCTCAAGTGTCCTGTTCCCTGGCTTCCTTTCTAGGGCCTGCTGGTGACGGTGAATGGCAATCCTGTGGACTACCACACCATACATCCCAGCCTACCCATAGAGAACGGCCCTGCCAAGACCGAACTGTATTCCACCCCCCAGTACCGGTGGGAGACATCAGAGTCCTCAGGTAATGTACCTGCCAGGGGAGGAGAATTTACCCAGGGCTCTATTTCCCTCTCATCCACAGGCATGGCATCTTTCCTGTTTGTTGTTTATTTGATTCTTTAGAATTACAGGTATGCAAATGTTCTTTATGTCTCAGGCCAGCCGAGCTAAACTCATTTCCTTAACTTTTGCCTATTCTTAGTACCAATACTGCAGTTTATTCATTCGTTCATTCATTCATTCGTTCGTTTGTTTGTTTGTTTGTTTGTTTTGGTGTTGGTACTAGGGCTTGAACTCAGAGCCTAGGTGCTATCCCTTTTCTTTTCTACTCAAGGCTGATTTCCTATCACTTGAGCTACACCTCAACTTCTAGCTTTTGTGGTGGTTAACTGGAGATAAGAGTCCCTTGAATTTGTCTACTTGATCTGACTTTGACCCTTAATCCTCAGATCTTAGCCTTCTGAGTAGCTAAGGTAACAGGCAACATGTTTACTTTTTAACAACGTGAAACCTACGTGTGTGTGTGTGTGTGTGTGTGTGTGTGTGTGTGTGTGTGTGTGTGAATTTACCTAGCTAGCTAGCTGTATACTAATATTTCTATTAGTTGCTATTTCAATGATGTCAGTGGTTTGTGGCTAATTTCTGCCTCCTACATGCTACTTAGAAGCTCCATTACACTCAGAGAAGGATGTCCAGAAGATACGAAAACCAGCAAATAGAGCTCTGAAGACCATCTTAGAGGATGCCTTTCACACTCTCTCAAATGGAAATTTCTGCGTTCTGTATATTGTGACCCTCATTAAGCAGAACTTGTTGCTTCTATTTGAATTCTGGAGGCATTATAAGTGTCAGTTATTCCTAAAATCTGAATTTATAGGCTATGCCCAAACCAGATCATGCTACATTGCCTAGGCCATTTATACAGACATCACACATTTGCATGAATAACTATTTAAGGTATTTATCTGTCTAGAAAAGAAAGAGGAAGAAGAAGACAAAGAAGAATTTGGAGAGGAAAGGAGCCAGGAAGAAAAAAGAAGTGTCAAAGTTCATGCCATGGTCTCTGTGTTCCAATTTATCATGAAACAAAGTTACATTTGTGCCCTCATCGCAATGATGGTAGGTATATCTGCCCCCATTATCTAGTAGACATGAACTGCACCTACTACAGCCCTGAAAAATGGTACACAGGGCCCAGTGGCTCCAAGACCCACAGGCCTGACCTCTAATAGCCAGCATAAAGAGCTCAATCTTGCCCATGGCTTGGCAGACAATAGTTGGTTATATTTATTTTTCATGGGATTTTTATGCTATAGACTGCAAAGTAATATGCTCTTCAACTCCTTCTCTTTTTAAATATTAATACATTTTTCTCAAATTAGCTTATCAGGTCCGCTTGTCCTTAGTTTTCCAGCTTAAGGCCAAGAAACCTTTTCTATAAGGTATTAATGACATTCACACTTGACATAGCTGCTTTCATTACTATCACTCATCTTACCTGGAATTGCTCTTTACCAACACGAATCAAACTATCATGGTCCCAACTGTGAACTCTCTATTTATGCTGTTTCTGCTCCAAATTACAACTCTGATAACAGTTCTTTGACTCTCAAATAGAAGATAAAGGAAGTTCTAATCTTTTCCTTTCCTAAATACAAATTCTTGAGAGATCTTATTTGTTTTTGAAAAACACAATACTCTTATTTTTAACATAACATCTCCAAATTCTGTTGTCAGTGCTGAGATTCCAGGGACACCTTGGTGATACAAAATGAAAATATTTTAACTCTAGGAAAAAATATGTAGACACAACTTACTCAGGAACCACTCAACACAGATACTTCCTGGATAAAGCTGTACATGACTTAGCTCCAGATTATAGTAAGAACACTGCCATATGGGACAGAAGGTGGAAACAAGTTCCTGAAATTAAAAGTGCTCATCTCGAGATCCCCAACTCTGTGTGTGTGTGTGTGTGTGTGTGTGTGTGTGGCTTGAACTCAGGGCCTGTGCACTGTCCCTGAGTTTTTGTGCTCAAAGCTAACACTCTAACACTTTAGCTACAGCTCCACTTCCAGCTTTTTGGTGGCTAATTTGAGGTAAGCCTATACTAGTTTTGAACTTCAGTGCACAGATCTCAGCCTCATGAGTAGTTATGATTACAGGTGTGAGCCACCAGCATTCATCTACAACTCTGTTGTTTAAATAGAATTAATTCTGTGTTCTGATTACTTACTGAAATTTTTTCCTTATATATCTTCCTCCAAACTTCTGGATCTTCCTCCAAATCTGTGCTTAAATATTATGGTATAAATTTTATTTATAATTCTTTTTTTCTTTTTTTTATTTTGAAAATACTGTACAGAGGGGTTACAATTACATGGACAAGATAATGAGTACATTTCTTATCAAGCATTGTAGCCTCCTCCTTTGTTTCCCCTTCCCATCCCTTCCCATCCTCCCCCTACCCCCTCACCCAAACCTCCTCCCCCCCCCAAAAGTTGTAAAGTTCGTTTATCCACATAACGACTTGTACATCTCATTGTTGCAATGGATCCACCTGTATCCCTATTTAAACGATTTGTTTATTCTTATTTTGAACTTAAAGCATTATATACTTATTTTTTTTCTTTCTCTCTAAGGAAGTAGGGTTTGAAACAAATTAGATGGAATACAATTTTTTTACTTAATAGAAAGGAAAGTCTGTAATAAAACCAGCACAGTTTTTCATTCAAGATATGATCTTTGGTGTTAGAGGCATGGCTCAGTTGGTAGAGTCAGATGTCATATGCCCCTTCCCCTACCCCATAAAAAAACAAGGAAGAAAAGAAAAAAAAATCAAACCTTGATTTGGGGGATGTGGTAGAGTTGGTAGAGTGCTAGCCAATGATCAAAAGTGTCAGTATTGAAGAGTCCCGGTTTGGGGCCCCACCCAAAAACAGACATGATCCTGGCTGATGTTATTGAGTCTTAAGCAGCCCCTGGTGTAGAGGAGCCTGCCCTCCAAGGACACTTGCCTATATTGCAGCAGGCATTTTAATCAGACGAAAGTAGAGGCTTCAGATAGCCAAGCCTGTTTACTATGATTTTGTATTTATTCGAAAATACATGAGTGTGCCAACTTATCAGACAGCTCTGAAATCAAAGGTAGGAAACCACATAGCTCAGATTTTACTTCCCAACTACCATAAACTACAGGTAGATAAAACTTAAATTTCCTAGCAATGCTCAATAGGAAATATACTCATTACCTTACTCATGTAACTGTAACCCCTCTGTACAGTATCTTTACAATAAAAATATATATTAAAAACATTTTTTAAAAAACCTTAAATTTCCTTACAAATCCTCATTATCCACTGTTCTTCCACTGCTCTCCTCACCCTGCCAAAAAAGAACAATGTGAGGGAGGATAAAAGTCTGTTGGAATCTCATCTTTTTGAAAATTTTCCTAAATGCTCCAAAGAATATGACAAACTTAACTCTCCTTCCTACTGAGATCAAGTCATTAAATACATTATTGAATATGAATCATTCAGTGTTTTCTTTTTATGTACCCACTCTAAATATTACCTAATGTTTGATAAACATTGTTTATAAAGAATAATACTTTCAGGAAAATAATTTGGAAGTTGTCGTTATGTCTCTAACTTAAGTAAAAGCAGTTTTAATTTCCTATATAATGATTATGTAATTTAATCAATAATGTTAAAGAATGTATTGCTTTAAAAGCCAGTTCTTCTTTAAGGCAAATTTGCAAATTGCTGAGAAAAATATTTGTGGTCCCATGCTGAATTCATTCACTTCATTCCTGTCTAGTACATAAAGCAGGCTATTAAAATGTTCTGGAATTTAGAACTGTTTCTTGATAGTGCATAATATTCAGAATTGTGTTTGACCTCAGTAAGCCTTCAACATTATCTACAAAATGTTTTAAAGGCCTTTTCCCAAAATAAGATGATAGTAGAGACTACAGTAACAGATAACAGGTTTCCTATTTCATAAGATTCATGAATTCACCTTAGTGATTGTATTTGTATTTGTAGCTGTCATTGCAATACATTGCTGATTCTTTGAAAGCTTAATGTGAAGGGGAAAAAAATATAGAATTTTCCTGACAGCACTTTGTGTGTGTGTGTGTGTGTGTGTGTGTGTGTGTGTGTGTGTGTGTGTGCTGGTCCTGGGACTTGAACTTGGGGCCTTGGTACTGTCCCTTAGTCTCTTAGCTTTTTTCCACTCAATGCTGGTGCTCAACCACCTGAGCCACAACTCCACTTCCAGCGTTTTGCTGGTTAATTGGAGATAAGAGTCTCAAGAACTTTCCTGCTTAGGCTGGCTTCAAATCACAATCCTCAGATATCAGCCTCCTGAGTAGCCAAGATTACAGGTGTGAACCACTGGCACTCACCTTTATTAACTCATCCTGTGTAAGAAAGAGTGTGTGTGTGCGTAAGTTTCTTAATTTCGATCATGTTTTTCTCTCCAACTTGTATACTTACTCCTGCGATTCTCAAAGCTTCTGTTTCTTAGCCCGGAAATAGCTCACATTCATTATGTATAAATAATTGCTGACTCCAAACTGTTTGTGGAAAAGAAGGGAAAAGTCACTTACACTTGTTTGTTTTTGTTTTTGTTGTTTGTTTTGTTTTGTGCTGGTTGTGGAACTTGAACTCAGGTTCTTGATACTGTCCTTTAGCTTTTTCAGTCAAGGTTGGCACTTTACCACTTCAATTGTAGCTTCACTTCTGGAGTTTTGGTGATTATTTGGAAATAAGAATCTCATGGATGTTTCTGCCCAGGCTCTCTTCAAATCTTGATCCTCATATCTTAGTCTCTTGCATAGCTAAGATTATGGGCATGAGTCCTAAGCATCTGGCTACAGGAAGTACAAAGCTAGTGTCATCCTCAACAAAATCCATCTCTTTTCCCTCCCCTATTCTACAGCCTGGAGTCTCTCTACCTTTCCTTCTGAACTCTGTCCTTTTCCTAGTTAACCTGTTATTGTTGTTTACTCTTTTTCTCTTTTTTGCTTTTTTTTTTTTTTTGTCGGTCATGGGGCCTAAATTCGGCCTGGGCTCTGTCCCTCAGATCTTTAGCTCAAGACTAGCACTCTACCACTTGAGCCACAGCACCACTTCCGGCTTTTTCTGCTTATGTAGTGCTGAGGAATCAAACCCAGGGCCTCATGCATGCAAGGCAAGCATTTTATCACTGAGCTACCTTCCCAGCCCATGTTGTTTACTTTTTAGATAACTTTGAACTTAGCAGAAATGAGAACTGTACATCAAATTGATAATTACCCTGTTTTCTTTGATTTTTCTCCCTGGAGGCTTGGAGCATCACCTACCACAGCTGGTTGACTTTTGTGCTGTTGATTTGGTCATGTACTCTTTGGATGATTCGCAACAGAAGAAAATATGCCATGATCAGCTCCCCTTTCATGGTGGTTTATGCAAATCTGTTGTTGGTGTTACAGTACATATGGAGTTTTGAACTTCCTGAAATTAAAAAGGTACCAGGATTTCTAGAAAAGAAAGAACCAGGAGAACTTGCATCAAAGGTATGTTTGTAGGAAAACAAGAAACCAAGTAACACACAGAAAAACAATAACAACCAAACCATATTAATCACAATAATCTTATCCAGCACAACTTTGAAAAACTAGCTTCCAAATATTTATTGCTTTGCACAAATGAGCAGACACCAGGCTTTCAGGAATAATTCTCATTGCTCAGAAGTCTCCTTAATCTAAGTATGAATATGTACTACACCATGCTTTTAACTTTTAGTTAAAATGACAATGCTTTCCTCTCAAGGTATTGTAATATGAATTATTTTTATAAAGTGTATATTAGTATATTAGCAATTAGATGTGTAAAAATGTAGAAAAATGAATAGAAATAGAAATCCAAAAAATGCAATGTAAAATATGCCAAGGGGTTAGTGATAGATTATCAATTTGTAAAACAGGCTTATTATTACACTTATATTATGGATAATTTGAAATGGATATGAAATGTCAATATTTCCCCTGATCACATCCTAAAAAGCATTTTTAGTAGAAAAATTGTGACACTTTTTCTCTTGTACTGACAAGCCATCTGTTGTTAGGCTCAAGTGGTAGAGCGCTAGCCTTGAGCTGAAGATCTGAGGGACAGTGCCTAGGCCGAGTTCAGGCGCCACAACAAACAAAAAAAAAAAAAAAATAAGCACAGGAAGCACAGGAAAAGAGCAATACAAGTCAATTTGATTCAAATATTATAAATGTTTATGTAAAATTCTATGGTGAAACCCGTTACAATGAATGTACACTAAATTTAAAAACTGAATAACAAGAAAGTAAAAGACACTATGTTGGAGGGCAGGAGTTGGTCAGGTACTAGTATGAATGGGACAATGGAGAGGGTAAATAAGGGTGAATATGGTCAAAATACTATATATACAAAGGTGAAAACAGAACAATGAAACCTGTTAAAGTTGTTTTAGGAGAAGCCCAAGGGATGAAGGGAGATGGTGGAGGGGTAAGTTTTGAACAGAGTACTTTGTATTGTTGAAAAACATGTGATGAAATATCACAAAGAAACATTCCTCATAATAGATGCTAATAAAAAATCTTTATTATATATGCCTGGATTTTACTCATCTTCCACAGAGAAGATGCTTTTGATTTCTGTTAACCATTCTGCATATGTCCCAACTTGCAGCCTCAGTTCAGTTCATGCTGACTTTCAGAATTTAATGCCCAAGTTTCAGAAGTGCAAGCATTCTGGATCTTTACTTCATTAGGTCCTGATATGTTTCTAGTAGCACTTTCTTATAGAATTATAAATGTTTATAACAGGACATGTTTATAGAATTGTTTGTACAAGGGGAGTTCATTTTGACATGCATACAATGTACCTTGATCAGCATTATCTCTTTCATCGCTCTCCCTCCTCCCAACTCCCACTTCCCATTTATTTCCCTGAAAATGACATAATTGCATTGTTCTTTATAACTAAATAATAATACATTCATATACACATATTTATTGCATTGTAAATAATACTCTAGTATATATACTTATTATACACGTATACATCATATATAATTTTACATAATACAGATAGATAGATAGATAGATAGATAGATAGATAGATAGATAGATAGATAGATAGACAGATGAAAGAGAAATTTCTAGGTCCATGAATCTAAAGCTTGGCTATTGTGAATAGTTCTGCAGTAAACATATGTGTGCATGTGCCTCTATTTCTTGACTTACATTCCTTCAGATAAATGCCCAAGAGTGCTATCACTAGATCCTAAGTAAGTTCTATAGTTTTTTTTGAGGAACCTCCTGTTGATTTCCATGTTTGTTGCATAGTTTACAGCTGCACCAACAGTTTATAAGATTTCCTCTCTCCCTGCATCCTCATGAGCATCTGTTTTTATTTTTATTCTTTATGATGGCCATTTCGACTGGAATAAGGAAAGCTCACTGTCGTTTTGATTTATATTTCACTGACAGCTAGGGATGTTAAGCATTTCTTCATGCATTTACGGACCAGATGTGCATATTTTGAGAAGTGTTTGTTCAAATCATTAGCCCTTAATTGTATTGTTGATGCTTTGAGATATTAGTTTTTGAGTTCCTTGTATATTCTGCTTATTAATTCTTTTTCAGATGTGTAGCTGAATCACCACAGTGAATATTTCCTTTGCTGTATATGGCTTTTTAGTTTGGTGTAATCTTATTTGTCAAGCCTTGCTCTTTTTTGCTATTAAAGAGTTCTACTCAGGAAGTTACTGCTCATGCCTAAATGTTCCACTGTTTCCCCCATTGTTTCAGATCCTTGATCCACTTTGAATTAATATTAGTAGAAGATGAGGGATATGGGCCTAATTTCAGTTTTCTGCATATGAACATACAGTTTTCCAAGCACCATTTGTGCCTTTACTCTAAGATACATTTTGCAGCCCTTGAATTTTTTCTCTTTGTATTTAGCTCTTGAATGTTTTTAAATGAACAAATTGTATGAATTACATTTTAATATCATTATCAGCAGATATTACATTCCCTACGAAATGTAACTCTCTAAATTATAAGCTTTTCCCATATCCCTTAGGGAAATGTTAATCAAAAGGTTAGACACTTAGGACTCTTCTTTCTGTGCAGGAAGGTTAAGGGGAAGCAATTAGGGCTTCAATTTTCTAGAATGCAAGTATCTATAGAACTCCTCAGAATAAGAGGAGTGTTACACAAGAAACACATCCTCCTTTCCCAATGGTAATGACATCCCAGTCAGGAGAAAATCAAGCAGGCATCATGAGGGAGTCCAGTTGCTGATATTGATTTGGATTGTCTAGTTCATCTTCCTGGGACAATACACAGTACCACATGTGCATGCACATGCACTGACATGCACCACACACACGTGTGTGTTAAAGATTGAAAATCAGTTCCTTTCTGGTAGAACCTAGTGGGGCAATGATTTTATTTTAAATTAAAATTAAAAGGTTCCCATCACCCTATAAAGAAAGTACTATTTCTTGTGGGATGTGTTTATGCTGAAAATGGTACTGAGTTCTCATTTTGCTCACTCTGATTTCAGATTCTTTTCACTATTACCTTTTGGCTGCTGCTGAGACAGCACCTCACAGAGCAAAAGGCTCTTCAAGAAAAGGAAGCGCTCTTGTCTGAAGTCAAAATTGGAAGTGAGGAGCTTGAAGAGAAAGGCAAGTCTTATGGGGAGTGTTGGACTACAGATTTTTATGCTGAGCAGAATTACAAATAGCCCTAAATACACCTGAAAAATTCTGGGCTTTAGACTGAATGAAAAGTGATTGTGAACTTGAAGCCATAAGTAATAGTAGAGAATGTAGCTTTTAATCTTATTTTTTTTAAGTTTTATAAAAGTTGATGTTAGAGCCGGGCGCTGGTGGCTCACGCCTGTAATCCTAGCTACTCAGGAGGCTGAGATCTGAGGATCGCGGTTCAAAGCCAGCCCGGGCAGGAGAGACCGTGAGACTCCTATCTCCAATAAACTACCAGAAAACCGGAAGTGGCACTGTAGCTCAAGTGGTAGAGCGCTCGCCTTGAGCTGAAGAGCTTAGGGACAGCGCCCAGGCCCAGAGTTCAAGCCCCACGACCGACCAAAAAAAAAAAAAAAAAGTTGATGTTAGGATAGAATCCAGGATTTTAAGTGTGTGAGACTCCACAGGGAACTTTCAAAATTCCCCATTGTATATTCACAAAAGCGATGCCAACAGAAGCCACTGAACAACTGAGAGTCAGAAAAATTAAATGACTTTTCCAGGACATATGAAAGAAAACATGTTACTTTTATCCTTCTGAACTTTGCTTACTTTGCTTAACATGATGGTCTCATGACATAATTTCAGTAAGAATTGGAACTAAGGAACTGACTTAAATATCCTTAATTAAAATTCTCTTCTTTCCTTTTTTTTATTTTCTTCTTTTCTAAAAACAAAATACCACAAAAGAAAGGGAGGAAAGGAGGAAGGGAAAGAGGGAGGAAGTTAGTTGAGTAATATCTCTATGGTTTTAGTGATAAATAGGTAATCAATTTGATCCCCAACTCTGTGGACATGTCAATAGCGATAAGCTTAGTGTTTATAGCATGGATTGGAAACTGTTTATGAGGTCAAGAAACGTTCTGTTTTAGAAAGGAGCATGTCAGTGCTCTCAGAAGATTGTCTAGTAAGCTCAATGAAATATCCTGATAAAACTAACACTTTTAATATAACTATATATTAAATCACACAATAACAATAAGTTTTTATTGTAAAAATACTGTACAAAGGGCTTACAATTACATGAGCAAGGTAATGAGTACATTTCTTATCAAGCATTGTTGCTTCCTCCTTTGTTTTTCCCCTACCATTCCTTCCCTCCCATCTCCACATCTCCACAACTACACTCCCCACCCACCTCTGCCTAAATTGTAAAGTTCATTTTTCTACATAGTGTTTTGTACATCTCATTGTTGCAATGGGTCAACCTGTATCCCTACTTAAACAATTTGTATTTAGGACAGTCAAATCTTGCCTTTATAAGTTGAATATCTACTTAGTAGATCAGTTAGCCAGTTAATTTTGGTAAAGAATGATTCATTTGAGATAAGTAATCTAGTCCTTCATTTTCATACTCCTTACTCTGAGAATCTACTAGTTTTTTGTATAAGTTATTCAAATTAGATAGATTTGGTAACACAGGAATTAAGTCCGGAGTACATTTCAAAGCAAGATGAAATATCTTAATTCTGACTCATAAAAATACTTTAAGCAATTAAATTTTAATTATTTCTTAAACCTAATTTAAACTAAATAATAGCTGTATTTACAATTTTTGATACTTACAAATATGCCTTAAGATTAAGATTGTTAGCATTGATTACAGTCAAGTACCAATTAGATTGTTTAGGGCCATGAAAGAATGAAATTTTCAAACTGGTATAGTTATTTTCATTTACGTTATTGTTAATTATTTATTTTTCTAGATTTTAGATCTAGGAAATACCAAATTTAAGAAAAGTTCTATGAAGAAATTAGTATAAAATATTACCAAAGTTATTTTCTTTTAAGCTACATTTCAGGAAGGCTATGAATTCAGTGTAACTATTGCCTGTTTTTTTTATATATAATTTTAATTTTATTGTCAAGGTGATGTACAGAGGGATTATAGTTACATAAGTATGGTAGTGATTACATTTCTTGTCTAAATTGTTAACCCCTCCCTCATTTTCTCCCCATTTCCCACCTCCCCATCCCCACCCTCCAAGTTGTACAGATCATTTCCAACATATTGTCTTGTGAGTATTGCTGTTGCATAGGTTCCCACCTCGTCCTTTGTCTCACCATTTTGTTGTTCCCCCTCCCTTCTCTAGTTCAGATAAATGTATGTACAATACCCAGGGTACCAAAATCAAATACAGTGACAACAGGGGATAAACCATAGGGGGGAAATACACAAAAGATAAAAGAAGTCACATAGTACATTGAGAGCAACAACAACAAATAAAAACCTTGTGTGTCAATGTCTGGAGTTCATTTTGCATGGCACCATCTTATATGGTCATATGTACATAGCTATTGAGCTATTCTGCTCATCTGTTAAGATTATCCTAGATATATACTAATTATTACAAATAAGGTAAACCATGGGACCTATGTTTCTTTGGGTCTGGCTTACTTTATTAGCATGATTTTTTCCAAGTCCTTTCATTTCCTTATACAATGGAATTCTATGCCTTGTTTTTGAGAGTAGTCCAAATTCCTCTAAATTATATACTCACTCATAAAATATATGCTTTTATGTCCCATATGTATTATGCAGCCAAAGTATGATATATAGTCAGATAACTCGTTGGGTGTAATGTCACTGTTTTCTGTTTTTAAGATGAAGAACTTCAAGATATACAAGTGGAAGGAGAACCCAGAGAGAAGGAAGAAGATGAGGAAATAAAAGAAGAGAAGCAAGAGAAAAAGAGGGAGGAGGAAGAGGAAGAAGAAGAAGATGACCAGGACATCATGAAGGTGCTGGGCAATCTGGTTATAGCCATGTTCATCAAGTATTGGATCTACGTCTGTGGTGGCATGTTCTTCTTTGTCAGCTTCGAGGGTAAAATAGTAATGTACAAAATCATCTACATGGTGCTTTTCCTGTTCTGTGTGGCCTTGTACCAGGTAAGTAAAGATTGGTCTCCAGTTTTTTATTTTCCTATCTATCTTCCAGGAATGTAAATGAACTTTTGTTGCCAATGTTTTTAAGGGGATACAATTCTATGAACATATTGTAGAAAATGATTAATAAAATTCAAGCATTATGTCTTCAGAATTCTAAAATGGGAGATGACTGTCAACATGTTCTCAACTTTAAACTTTTAGATTCTTAGAAAATCAGAAAAAGTTCATTAATTTGTCAATAAAAGCCTTGATTTTAAAAAAAAGACGTCTATATAACTCAATTTTAGTTTTTGAATATATAATAATACATTTAAAGCGATGTTAAGATCATCTTAAATAGTAGAGGATTCCCTATTTAGCTATTATTTCAAGTCTTGACATCAGAAAATTATTAATACATGTGCATGTGTGTGTGGGTGTATATATGTGTGTGTGTGTGTGTGTGTGTGTGTGTGTGGTGTGCATGTGTGTGCATATTTGTATGCATGTATAATACAAGTGCTTAAGTATTTTCTTTACTAAAATTTGTAAAAAGTATTTCTTTACCAAAATGCATTGGCTTCTCCGCACACTCAGTTATAACGGATTTAGAGGGACTCCAATGATAGAAATAATTGTAACAATAAAATGTTCCTGCAGGCAGTTAACAAACCAAATAAAGCAATGACAATAAACCAGAGTATATTGCATGTAGACATAAAAGTTCTCAAAAATCAATAATGATCTTGAAAATTGTTTTAATATGTGCATGCAAGTACTGGTGCTTGAACTCATGGTCTAGGCTTTGTCCCTTGGACTTATTGCTCAAGACTAATGCTCTGTCATTTGAGCCACAGCTGTATTTACAGCTTTTGGGTTTGGAGATAAGAGTCTCATGGACTTTCCTGCCTGGGCTGGCTTTGAACTATGACCCTTAGATCTCAGCCTCTTGAGTAGGATTACAGGTGTGAGCCTTTGACACCCAGATTTTAAATACTTTTTTAAAATACATGCTAAACTTCTCTAATGACTAGCCACAGCTTATAATAAGGAGAGCCTCCTGTATGATGGTTTCATGTTTTTATTAATAAAACCCCATATTGAATTTCAGAACTGATGCAGTTTCCTTTGAGCAGTAACAACCACGATAACATCGTTCGCTCAGTTCCTCCTAGAGATGTGATAACATGCTAGGAGCCTTCTAACCATCACCTTAGTGTACATTTGTGCTCAAACTGGGGATTGAACTCAGGGCCTGGGCAATGTCCCTTAGCTTTATTGCCCAAGACAGTTTGGCACTCTACCACTGAGCAAAAGCTCCACTTCTGGCTTTTTGATAGTTAATTGGAGATAAGAATCTCAGTGTCTCATGAGACTTTACTGCCTGAGGCTGGCTTCGAAGCTTGATCCTCAGATCTCAGCTACTCAGGAAAGTAGTTAGGATTAAAGGCACGAGCCACCTGCACCCTGCTTTAGTGTCCTCATAACAACTCTGCAAATGATCTATTTATGGAGGAGAAAACTGAAGTGAGGTTGTTTAGCAACTGTTCACAATAGCTAATAGTACTATGATTCTAACCCAGATCCACCCTTCTAAAGATGAAAACCTTAAAGAATTAAAAATCAGACTATTTTCCAGCACTTTTCTATGGAATCACTTTAGTTAAATAGAGTAAATATATTATGTTTTCCAATAATGTTTTTGTCTCCTTTGTTTTTTAATTGTGATTCTCAGGTGCACTATGAATGGTGGAGAAAAATCCTAAAATATTTTTGGATGTCAGTGGTTATCTACACTATGCTGGTGCTTATCTTTATATACACATATCAATTTGAAAACTTCCCAGGCCTGTGGCAAAATATGACAGGATTGAAAAAAGAAAAGTAAGTGATGTTAGTACATTATGGAATGAGAAGAAGCCAAGCCATTAAATGGTCTGAGTATATATTGGTTACAATACCTATATGGATTCTAGAATAACAGAATTGTTTGGGGATTATAAATACCAGGATAGCAGGATTTAGAACTCACTTTTCCTTGTGTTTCTTCTTTTAAAGCTTAAAATGTAGTAGCTACTACATGAATATTGGCTGACTAAATTTTATCAGCCCTATTTCAAGAAAATGTTAATTTTTATTGTCAGTTCCATAGGAAGCATACCTGCTTAATATTGCATCCAGCTTCTGCCTTTCATATGCAACTCCATTTTTCAGCTCAAAGACTTGTAATTCATGTATTCAGTCTTTTCTTCTTCATGTTTCCAGTCTTAGACTGAAAGTGAACTTAGAGACAAAGAGAAAGCCATTCATACAGGTACAGAGAGTCTTAGGGTATGGAGACAGCATGCCCTGTATGGTTAATGGATGATGCTTTCTCCTTTTCTAATTTGCTCCCGTAAACATCTGAAATTACTTTGGAATTCTGGCCAGCACTGGAAGTTGGGTGCTAATGTATTAAGGAGAAAAGAACAGAAAAGCTAAGGGGCAGCATCTGAGTTCAAGGGGCAGCACTTGAGTTCAAGCCCCAGTACTGGTACTCACTGACAGAAAGAACAAAAAGAAAAAAATGCCATGTAGCTAAACAAACAAATCTGCCATGTTTATTTACAAATTTCATTGAATACTTATCCTGGAGTTACAACAGGAAACAAGAAAATCTTAAGTCTTATGAGGTCTACCACTCACTTATTGTATGCAAGTTTATTTCAAATTGTGGTCAGTCTGTGAAGGAAATTGCAGGCTGATGGAGCAATGGGGGAAACTACAAATTGTGGCTCCAATTGTCTTTTAAGCAGGTATCCTTTAAACTCTCCTTGAAGGATAAGAAACAACTGTCTTAGGAAAAGTGTGGGGGTTGGGGATTGGGGTACAGAAGAGCACTCACTACTGGCAGAGCAAATAGAGAATTCATCTTTTCTGCGATAAGACTGAATTTGGCCTGGTACATGTGAAGAATTAAAGCAAGTGTATGCCTGTTGAGAGGAAAGGAAAGAAAGAGATGAAGAAGAAAGTTTCATTTGGACATTTTCAATTAAAGATACGCTGACTAGTTGAGAAAACATGAGGTGTGATAAATAGAACTAAGACTGCATCTCACACCACAGTTATAGTCCTATGAGAAATAATGGCAACTCTATCTGACTAGATAGGGGCAAAGGTGGATGACAGCACTGGGTGGTTTCAGAATGTTAAAACAAATGCAGAGGAATATGTTAAGAAGGTAAAGAAAGAATCATGGACACTTCTGATTTCCTAACTTTGACAGGGTAGATGGTTGTATTTATTGATGCAGAGAAAGTCAGAATAGAGATGGGAATATAAAGAATAGCTTTACTAAGGAAAAAAGGGAGACCAAGAACACTTAAGTATGAAATCACTGTAGAGCAGCCAGTTTTCATTAGAAATTTGTGGATGAGAGTTCACAGGAAAATTCTGTGCTATAAATGGACATTTGAGTTTTTGGCATTAGGATGTCAGATAAATCCACAGGATATACTGAGAACACCAGGAAAAAAAATACAAGTAGAGAAGTAACCCCAAAGTGAGTCCTTGGGATATTTCAGTGTCTAGAGGTACAGAAAGAAGTAAAGAAAGAATGAGAGAGAGAGAAAGCAAGAAAGAAAGCAAGCAAGAAAAGAAAAGGAGAGAAAAAGAAAGAAATGAGACCATGGTAACAGAAAAGAAAACCAGGAATGTGTAGAAATATCTTAACCAGGGTTATTTCAGGAACTAGAGGATAGATAGAAAAATTGCCATTGAATTTGGCAATGTCAAGGTTGTTTATGTCCATTGTAAAAGTAGGTGACTTGAATTTGTGAAAATAAAAGCTAAAGCAGGATTGTGGAAGAGAAGGATACCGAGAGTGGGAAGGCCAATGAGAGAGCGCAGCTGATGTCCTTGAATAACTATGGTGCCTGCATTGCCCAAGAAAGCTTCTTGCTTTTTGTCTTGTTTACAACAGGCTTGAGGATCTTGGCTTAAAGCAGTTTACTGTGGCTGAATTATTCACTCGCATATTCATCCCAACCTCCTTCCTGCTGGTGTGCATTTTACACCTTCACTATTTCCATGACCGCTTTCTGGAACTCACAGACCTCAAGGCCATTCCCAGCAAAGAAGACAACACCATCTACAGGTGAGCAAATGAGGAAATCCTTAACTCTTGTCATCAGGAAGTCAGCTTTGATACTCTACCTCTGGTTGACAGTTTTTATGGATTCAGTGTTCAGTTCATAGGTTGGGGGGGGGGGGGGGGGACGGCAATGGAGAGAAAGAAAGAGAGAAATACAGACTATTCCATGACACTTTCTGAAGTAGTTGGTAGTGAATTATAGCTGATTCATGTAAAGTGCTGTCTAATCATGTGAGTAGATTCACAATAGCTGTGATTATGATTCTAAAAATCATTGATGATGATTGTGTATATACACACAAACATACACAAGTGTGCACGTATATGCATGGTAGTACTGCAGCTTGAACTCAGAGCCTTGACTTCTCTCTTAACGTTTTTTGCTCAAGGCTGTCACTACCATTTGAGTCATACCTCCACTTCCAGTTCTTTGCTGGTTAATTAGAGGTAGGAGTCTCATGGACTTTTCTGCCTATGCTGGCTTGGAACCACAATCCTTAGATCATGAATCACCAACACCCCATTTGGTGGTACATATTTTATGTGTAGGCTGGTTATATATTTTTAGGACATTCACATGATTCAGGAGTGAGTTTTTGTTATGCTAATCACCTATAAAGAAATCACCAGAAGAATATTCCAAAAGATGATTTTAAATTTTTAGATAGGGTTAACCTTAGCCAAAAAGCAGAAAAACTTCAGTCTACTAGCAACAATAAAAGTCTTTAAGAAGAGGAAATAAAGACAATGTCTTCTTTTAAGTGATTACTGTTGGCTTTCTCGTCATAAATAAATATAAATTATTTAAAAGTAATAGACAGGATATGTCTTCTCTGTATTTATTGAAACTACAATGGGTTATTACAAATCCTTGTTGCTATCACAGGAAAATTATAATCATTCTTCTGATTAAGGCTAAGCAATTTTTTTCTGCCCCATACTTGTCTGTGATTCAATTCTTAGGAAAATATTTGCTATATACAACTAAGAGAGCAAAGTCTATTCTGAGAATAGTATGAAGACACAGATGGAAATTTAATTATTTGTCTTCAAAGAAGAAAATTGATCACATGAATACAACATGAAGTATGATTTTATTCTCATTTTAGGAAATACTAAACTTTCAATGTTCTGTTCCAAGAAGAACTAAAATTATAGATAATTGAAACACTGCTATTTGGTGATGAAAAATATTTTGTGATATTACAGATTTGCTTCTGTATTTGTTTTAATGTCATACTTAGTTTTCATTCTGAGTATGCTCCAACTGACCATCAACCAATAGAATTGTTAGATAGTTTCTTAGCCATCTTACCCATGTATGGATGGGGCTGATGGTCAGACTCCCATACATTTACTCCCATCACTGTTAGAGATAATCAGACATTGGGAAAAAAAAAGTTTTGTTAAAAATTTGTACTTGTTGGTAAGGAAAATTGCCTTAAGGTTGAGTTTATGAAGACTGGTACTATTATTATTTGATCATTTTAACGTTACTTTGATACCTGTGGTTAAGCTTAATATGATGTACAACTCTAATCATGTATATGCTTTAACTATAAATGCCAGCATTTTTCAGATATCATATTCAATAATCAAGGAAAATAATTTAGGAGCTGGAGATGTGGCTCAAATGGTATAGTTGCGCTCCCTGAAAGTTCAAAGCCCTGAGTTCAAACCTCAGCATCACCCAAAAATATTTTTAATTGGCAGAACATATTTGTTTGTGAGACATGTAATTATTGATCATTACTAATAAAACCTTTAAAAAATACTTTTCCTCCCAAATCTTTTCCTTCTTTTCCACATGGATTTTCTTCTCTTTCAAAGATTTTCCAGTATGCAGGGGCTTTTTATTGCCTTCATTCATCAAATACAGATACAGGCCATAATTTATCCAGAAAAGTCTATAAATATTTTAGGATAAGCTTAGCTAAGATTTTTATCAGTCTAAAGATATCACAGGTTATGGACACAGTGGGCATATAAGAGCTGAACTTGTACCAGAATTGCCTTTAAGTCTTTCCTGCTCTGCCCTGCCTTGCACTGCCCTGTCCAATTATGCAGATTCTGGGTAAGGAGAGTTGTCCCACATGAAGGTAAATGCTGTCTGTTTCCTGCTTTATGTCACTTACCCTCCTGCAGGACAGGCAAAAAGAGAACAGACCTGAAGAACCTGGGGTGATTTGAGGTTGTGATCTCCTCTGCTCTCTGTGGTGACTTAGCCAGGATCACTCTCTAACAGTGATATTTACAAGAAAATTTAGAGATGAGATGGGAATGCATAAACTCAGCTATCTGAAAAGAATTTAAGCACATGTGATTCCATTTTCAGATCGGTAGAAAAACAGCTGCTTTGAACCTTGGAGAAATTAAAAAATTCACACATGCTATCTTATTTGAAATTTCCTGCAAAATTTTAATGGAGAAGTCCTCAAACGTTAACTTTAAACATAAAATTTATGTCTCACCTTTTAACAACTCTTCTTATTATAGTACTTTAACTAATAATTTTTTACATCACAGTATGTTTTAGTCTTAGTCTTAATCAGTGGCTGAATTAAAATGAAAATAACAAAGAAAAAGACATGTTCCAAGACTGCCTTACTTTGCTTTTCCTGTGCTCACCTCCTTTTAATGCTTTACAAAATAAATAAATCCCATAAATCTGAAATTAGTTATTAAATTGTCACATTATTGTTTCTGTCAGTAACCAGCTGGTCTCCTCCTGTCTGCTCACTGTGTATGTATGCGTATATGTTCATACATGTAATATAGACAAGTGCCACTTTTATATGTAAAGTTAGTATTAAGAAAATGTTCCACGATATACTTAAGAAGAAACTATTATAATTCTAAGGCAATCTCAGGTATATGATCTTCTATATTGATAATAGTTTATCCTACATAATAATATGCCTATTTTAAATGTAAATTAGTAATAATCTTATTAAAATTCTTTATCAATTATTCATTAGAAAATATTATTATAAATCTAGAAACAAAACAACCTCTTTCTCCAACTTCAGTTTTTGAAGATATGAAAGAAACCATGTCCACCGTAGTTATCTTTCATAAAATTCCATTAAAGAATTTAAATATTGCTATTGTTTAGTATGAACTGAGAGGTATAAGAATAGGGTGCATGTTTTCTCTCATCTATGGAAGATAGATCTAAGTTATAAATATATATGTAAATATATAAAAGGTCATATTTATACAAACATGTTAACTAGAGCATGGTGTATGCTGGGGGATAACTTTGGTATAACTATTAACTTATAGTTTAACCAAATGAATATCAAAAAAAAACTGGAACAAGTGTCAAAGGAATAAGGTCAAAGGGAGGGAGATAGACAAATGGAGAGAAGAAGGGTGGGCAAATGCAGTGATAATGTTTAATGTACATATGTGAAAATGTAATTAGGTAAATTGAGGGGATAGGCGGGGTTTAGAGAGATGAGGGAAAATGACAAAAGGGATAACAAGAGGCATTGTATTCACAAACTGATATGTTATATTGAAAGGTTTCTGTACAACTACTTGCTAGTAAAAAATATTAAATAAAAATTACTAGAAAAACTAGGGGAATGAATATCTTTGGAATATGTTGGAGAAAAAAGAAAAGAGAGGTACATTATCTTTGAGTATTTTTCCTGCATGTGTCTGATTTCCTGTTTCTATAAATTCTTGCTGCCTACACTCTTTCTGAGCTGCACAACCGGTGTGGATGATGACACAACTGGTGAAAGGAAGCCTAAGATATAGCCTATGTCACTGTCTCTAACAGTCTTCTTTCTCTCTCCCTCCTGTCTCCCATTGCCTCCTTGTGCTTCTGTCTAACCTCTCAGCCATGCCAAAGTCAATGGCCGTGTGTATCTAATAATAAATAGGTGGGTACTTTGATGTTTTCTTCCTTGTTTGAAAATGTTTCTTGGTATGTTAAACTCTTTCCTGCTTTATAAGAGAAAAATATATCATCAGGTAGTGGAGAGTGGCTTCCAGGTATGCTCATGGATGTATTCTGCAATCTAAGCCATTTGGTGTTACACCGAATGGTACTGCCAAGTGGTTGTGGAGGTTGCTGAGGGTCTTCAGCTGGTGCTCAGCAGTTGCTCTCAGTCCGAACTTATGTCCCATTTACTTTATTATCTTGTGGTAGAAGCAGTTCAAGGCTTACCTGAGAGTCTGTCTCATTCTTATACAAGTACTTAAGAGCTCAGCTCAAGAACCACCTCCTCCACACACACACACATGCTAAAAGTCATCTGCCCTTTATCTGAATTCCCATGGCAGTTTGTCACTGTGGCTGTCCCGATACTCTGCCTTTCAGATCTCCACTGCCTGCTTGGCTCATCTCCCTTGCTAGAGGCATAAGCTCCTCAGGCCTGGATGTCCTATAATGTTCACAAGTCACTGACCCCTCAACCTTACCCCTTAGTTGACGTTTGGTAGACATTTTGTGACTGAAACAAAAAATAATTACAACAATATGTGGTTTACAAACATCAAAATTTCAAGTATATCTCTAGTTGCAAGATCAACACAGACTAGAAGAAGAATATTTTTGTATTCAGTAGCTTTCATCATTTGTCTGCAGACCATAGAATGTGCAAAGATGGCACTGGAATGTGGCCCTGCTTTCAGATGAGGACCATTGAGCTGGGAGAGAAAACTCACACTGAGTTTTCATCCACAACAATGAGCTTTGTAAGTGTACGAGGTGTCCACAAAATGTCCCACAAACACCGAGCAAAGATCTTTGAGGTTCTGTATCTTCAAACTATTCTTACTTTGTTAAGCATGCCAGTGAAATTGTTCACTCTCCATATTCCATATGGTTAGTAGTAACATTAGTATTTAGTTAAGAGAAACATGCATTAACTCCATTAACAAACTAGCTGAAAGATTTTTGGTTTCCTCTGGCATTCATGTTTTTCTTAGAACTGTGGTTCAAATGGTAGAATGTCAGCCTTAAGTGAAAAAGTCAAGCAAGAGTGAGA